TCTCATAAAACGTTGAAAAGTGGTTTTCTGTAGGTTTCGCGACGTACTCTATCAATTGGACAGATCAAAAGTTTTTTTTAGCGCAAATGGTTTTTCGGCTTGAAAACCAAGATCTTCGAAAATCGGGGCTTTAAAGTCAAAATTAGCCCAAACCATTATGAAATTCGTAATCAGCATGCTCGATTATCCCCGGTCAACTGAGTCTCAGCTCAAAAGCGAGGGAACACTTGGTGGCCTTCCCTCGTCAGTTCAGTCAAATTCAGATACTATTCGATTTCCTGCCGGAAGGTGAATCAAACCATATATCTGAGAGATAGCTAGCACATTATATGACTTAGTGGCATAAGAAAAATTCTAGAAAATCGATGCATAGACATTTTTATTTTTTCTTAGATTTCGAACGAAAAGCATTTTCTAAAACACTTTTTCTGTCATTATGTCTGTAAGACTATTTGTTCTTCAAGCCCACAAAGGAACTTCTCAGCTAATCAGTTAATTATATATTGAATTTTATTAAATTTTAAATGACAGTGACCAGGAGCCTCATAATATTTAATCATTTTTAACCTTTTATTTATTAAACTTGAAATTTTTAAGTCAGCTTTTGATTTAATTTTTTTCCTAGTATAATATTGTTATTTATGTAAAAATAATATATTGGACTATGAGACGATGTCATCATGGAAATCTAGTGGAAAAAAACCCACAAAACTTTAGATTACATATGGTTAAACACTAAAATGAGTTACAGAATATACAAAAAACAAATCTGAGTGAATAGAAGAAACAAAGTATATGTTTATTTCGACAAACAATAACTGTTTTGAGGAGAGAAAACATATTCAGTAGTTTACAGGTTAAAGTTATTTTTTGCTTTTCGGCTTTTTCATTCGTTTTGTTTTTAATCCTATTAGTTCTTCAGCATTCATTTTAATTTTGTCTCTTGTCATTGCTTCTGGATTATCTTCTCCAGCATTATCATCATCTTAAAATGAACAGCATCACATGATAATTTAATATAACGATCCTTTCTAACCATCACTTACCTCCATACAGTGCGCCTCCTTTCTGTGTCGATGGTGGATTTATACGAGTATTAAACTGTGGCAATTTACCATCACCATACAATTGTAACTACAAAAAAAGACGTAATAGTATGGTAGAACGACAAAAAATAATACACGTACATCTTGCTGTCGTAACTCCCGTAATGTTCCCTCTAAATCTTTAGCTTCTAGTTCTTCGAGGAGTTTTACTAGTTTTTCTTCGGTTGTACCCAATAAATCAAGAACAAAATCATTCGATTGTGGTGATATAATTGTTGTTGCAACTTGACTTTTTGTCTAAACATAAAATGTTTCATTTACAATTTTTTTCTATCAAACCTATCTTTGTCCCGATAAATCCAATCGAGGACAAACTTTCAAGTAATGCATATCATAATTAGAAAGGATAACGATAGTTTTTGTCAAGGCTTCATGTCACATCGTTCAGGAGATATGGTTAACATAAGGGACAAAATATATCGTTAAAAAAATTACATTTTCTCATCAAAGTCAAAAATTAGCATACAAATTCTCTTTTGTAACACTGCTACCGTTATGTAGCTGTAGACTATTTGCTGGATCAATATATGAAAACAACGCCTCGCAGACACGTTTTGGAACGTATGTTTGGCATAGTGACAATAATCGCATTAGCTCAAAAACCTAAAAAAACGTCTGCGACAGTTTTTCAGAGCACAGATCTGGCTCTGTGGCGCTATGTCTTGTCTTCAGTTTAAAGACAGAGATTTCTTTCAACATCTCATCTTAGTCGGAAAAGTTTATTCTATAAAGTGATGTCTTCGGGAAAAACGTTTGTCATAGAGCACCCTAATTTTCCAAGTATTTTCGAAAATGTGTTCATTTTTCGAGTTAACTGAGCAATCACATCATATTCTCCTTCTTACAATGAACTATTTATCAAAGTTTAAGATTTCTTGCATCGAGATCCACGCAATCTTGAAAGAAATATGTTCAAATGCGGTCTGAAAAGTGAAAAAGGAGCTTATATTCATCTATTGCTATACCACATTATACTACGAATGGTACTTACGCCTTTCAAATGATGTAATTTAGAAGACAAATGTTCAATGCCCGATTTGACCTCGATCATTTTCTTCATTGTTTTTTCCATTTTAGCCATACTTTTTTCTCGTCGATCCTCACCATTATCAAGTGCTTCTTGAGCGTTTTCCAACAAACTTTGTCCTCTATAGAAAAGCGAAGTAATATCGATGATTTATTTGATAATAATGAGTTCAAATTACGCTGATGTTTTCGCTTCGCCAGAATATTTCATCTCTTCAAACTCTTTGCTCAATCGAGATTTTTCTTCACGTAATTTTGCTGTATGTTGTTCAGCTTCTTGTTTCATTTTTTCCAAATGAGCTGTTGTCTCATCTTGTGATGAAAAACGTTCAACAACTTCCTTGAAAATAGTAAATAAAATGAGTTTAGTTTGACTCTACGAGATTAATATTTACCTGCATCGTACTAGCACCCGTTGCTTCTTTAATTCTTGAAAATGCTTCATTGTACATGTCAATTTTTGATTGATCTTGTTCAGACAGTCGATCTTTAAGATCTTCTTGTGGACTGGTAGGACGTTGCAGCTAAGAGTGATTAATCAATTACAGGTACATAAATACTCTGGATAATTCTAAATGAAGCAAAATGAAAAACGTACTGCTCGACGATCAATTCGTTCTGTATGCATTTTTTTCTCTTCAGCTTCATTTTTCAATTCACTTAAACGCAATTCACGCTCTTTTCGTTCTCTATAAAACCAAAAATACATCCATTTTCATTTATAAATGATGTTTTCGTTTTAATCTTGCCTATAGACTTTATCTTCGCTTTTCTTCAATTCATTTTTAGCATTTTTTTGTGCTAATTCTGCTTCCGTTGCAATACGTTGTACTTCAAGTAATTCGGCTTGTGTTTTACGAATCTGTTGTTCCATTGCATCCAAACGGTTTGTATATGTTAAACTTTCCTAATAATATATATGAAGAACTGATAAAAATAACTTATACATATCAATAACTTCTAACCTCAATAAGATGAGATTTAATTTGAGTATAAGTGCGTTGAATGGTGACTGCTTCAGTACATTTTAATTCAGCTTTATCAAGACGATTTTCTAATTGTCGAAGATGCTAAATGAAAGGAGAATTTAAATTAGTATTAGTGGCGTCAGAATTATTTTGTGGCCGAATGCTTGCCTCTCTATCAAATTTTTCTGTAGGAGAAAAGACTTTTTTTACCAGTTCATTAAGAAAAAGTTTAGACAAAATGGAGACCGAAAGAAACCAGCTTTGACCTCCTCATTTGATGGCACTTCCACTATGACGTCAATAGAAACAGGAAAATATTTCCACTCACAGCAGCTGTTTCTGATTCACCAGCATCCGTTCGCATTGCTTCGTCTGTATCTTTGACCAATTGATCATAACGTGTTTGGAGTTCTTCAAGTTGTTTTTGTTTCGCTGCATTTTCATGACGAGAAGAATTTAATTTATTTTTTAAATCACCCAGTTGTTCATCCGTTAATTGAATAGCAGCCTTGTATGAAAATATAATAGAACAGAATTGTATGCACATGCAATAACAATAATGAAAACAAATACTTACATAACCGGACTTATTTTTAAAAGCTGCACGTTCACCTTTTCTACCAGCAAATGCATCATTCAAAACTTTTTCGTCTCCCTGTCAAAAACAACAAATAGTTGCAGTGCCAATATTCACCTAGTCTTGTGTTTTTAACCTCAAGTAATTCTTTCAATTTTCGTCTCTGGTCTTTATTATCCTTTTGCAATTGTGCGATTTTTCGCTTGTTTTTATCTGTTTGTAAATCAACTTGTTCGGTAAAAGCTTCTTGACTTCCGGCTAAAGGGAAAAGAGAGAAAGAAAATGATTTTATTTCATCTTTCAACTACAAATAAATCGATTGAGATTTTTCAGTTTCAAGTAGAGAGCCGTACGGGATAATTCGGGCCACTTGCACAAAGTTTCTTAGTAGTTTGCATATTTCTAAGCCGTTCTTAATCGGGTAAGCGTACTATTGAATATGAAAATAGAACTAGCAGTTCTCTATCTGGTGATGTAAACAACTCCTAAAAAGTCCCTCTCCGTTTTCCAGCATTAGTCAAAAGGAGACAGGGATCTCTAAAGTGGCCTGGGTTTTCCCTCATTAATTATGAGCAATTCATGAAAAAATGTCTATATATTATGGGCTGTACTCTTATGGATTGAATAAAAAAATGAGACATGAACTTCGATTAAAATTAAGGCAGATAATATCGAAACTAGACTTAGATATTTATGAAACAAATGTAAAAATGCTTACAAAAACTCATTCAAAAACTGTTTTGATACCTTACCATAAAAACTGATTACTTTAATCGATTAAGGTAACCAGCTAGCGTCGCGCAAAATAAGATATCTCTGCCGTAGGTATAATACAAGAATCAATGATTATAAAACAGACACATTCTGTATAATTTTTTTGCAATATTAAATAAGTAAAATAAACTAGATATTGTATTTTGGACGATGCTAGGTATTTACCTTAATCAATTAAAGTAACCAGCTTTTATGCTAAGGTATCAAAACAGTTTTTGAATGAGTTTTTGTAAGCATTTTTCCATCTGTTTTATAAATATCTAGCTCTAGTTTCGATATTATCAGAGGTTTGTTTCAGAAAATTCCATGTATTTGAATTGACCGACCCGAATTACCTACCCCACGCAAAATAGCTTATCGACCGGAATTAAACCATATGGAGGAAATCGAGCCAGTTTGAAGGCCCCGGCCTCCATTTAACTACTGCTCAAAAAACGGAGAGGGGATTCCCATGTTGTGAAAACCGCTCGAAAACCGCCGGTTAACCGCGGTTATTTCCCATTAACAGTTCATTTAACTGTCGGTTTTTACGCTACATTGCTATGGTTTCAGCTGAAATAACCGCGGTTAACCATCGATTTTCTTGAAAAATAGACGACATGGGTTTTTAGGAGATTTTTACATCGGCGGATAGAGAACTGCTAGCCCCATCTTCATATTCAATAGCACGCTTACTCGATTAAGAACGGCTTAAAAATACGCAAACTACTAAGAAACTTTGTGCAAGTGGTTCGAATTGTCTCATACGACTCTACCTCTACCATATCAACGTTAAGAAAAAATAAAGTTCATGTAGAGTCGCGGAAAAGTGTTTTTTCGTGTTCAGCACACTAGATAACTCAGAAGATTTTCTGTTTTAACGTGGGGGTACTGTCACCAGTTTAAGAAAAATTTGAAACATATTTTTTTCTCACGGAAATTTTTTGTCATCGTTTTGTTAGAAAATTTTCCTTAAACTTTTGGCAGTACCCCCTCGTTAAAACAGAAAATCTTCTCGGTTATCTAGTGCGCTGACCACGAAAAAGCACTTTTCTGTGACTCTGCATGAACTGTACTTTTCTGTCGGTGATATACATTTGCAGTTTTCTTCGTAAGTAAATTTTCTCGGTTCTGTTCGTTATCTATTCAAGGATTCACTGGCAGCTGCTGTTAAAAAACGATAACACTCAATCAAATGTTGGTCCGTTGAAATCACTCTACGGTTTCTTTCTATTTATCAAACTTCTAACATCTCATTAGTACCCAATAACTCTCGTTTTTTTCTGATTTCTTCAATTTGCTCCGGCAATGACAATTTCAGTTGATATTGTTCGTCGCTTTTTGCACCAGACGGCATGTTTCAACTATCTTCTCTCTCGTTTATTATCAAATTGATGTGAGTGAAGACTGACAAAACCTGTCTGTTAGTGTATTGTGCTCTCTTTGCGACGACCATTACTATTGAAAGCTAGTATGTTGCTGAGCAATAAATATCTTTATAACGCAACTTTTTTGTAAACAGAAGTGCACGAGGAGGTGAATCAACATGAGGAACTAGAAACTTCTATTTTCAAGTTTAAAATATAGAGAGCGTTTCAACAACAGCGACACTTTCCACGTCTTTCTACGTATATACGTTGCCTCATACGGCCGTTTGAAGGCATCATTTGCCGAAAAAATGAACAATACAAGAAAAATAGAAAACATAGAGTTATATTGCACTAGTGTTTAGAAGTATTTACCACAGAGAACCCCCGTCGTTGCATGGGTAATAGTAAAACATGAAGGCACCCGCAAACACCCACAGACACTTACCGACACCCACAGACAGACATTCATACACAGACATCCATGGATGCCTGTGTAGCTGTCTGTGGAAGTCTTCATGTTTTACTATTACCCGTCGTTGCATAATATTCTTAACATCAGGATGTCCTTTCTCTTTTTTGACAAGATTTTTTATTTTGAGTTGAACAGAACTTAGCCTAGAGGTCTAAGCTGTGAAATAAGACTGCTGTCTGAGTTTCACGACCTCTTTCTGCTGAAGGTATGAATTTTTTAAGTTTTTGCTTCTGTTGCTAGTGCCTTCAAAAATTCTTCTTCTATTTAGTCTGATGCGCAATGTTCTCTTCGTAACGAGGTCTCTCCGAAAACTTTTCAATGATTTTTGGCGAAGATACGAGCGAGCATCGTCCCAAATATCTGTCAAAAAATAACCGGGTTAATGTTATCTGTAATGCGGAAAACACTGATGGTTCCAATTCAGTCACATTAGGACCCATCGCATAAATGATTCGATCGAGTCCAACGTTTTACCACACATACTTCAGACCTTATCTCAGGTTCGAATTTTTTATAAAGCGCTTTCAACTTCAACTTTCGTCCTGAGAAGGTTTTTAGGATAAAAAAATAACGTTTTACAAAGGATTTTCAGCATGTTTTTAATACTTCAAAACGGAAAGCATATTTTTCGAAAAAAGATTTGAAACCTGCAATAAGGTCTGAAGTATCTGTGTAAAAATTTGAACTTGATCAAATCTATCTTCTTCATCTTGATCATCTTTGCGAACAGGGTGAAAAACGAGGAAGTACCCTTAAACAAAGCGCATGAACTCAGTCCTATACTTATGTCAAAGTTCAGTTTGTTTTAGTCTATCGTTTACAGCATTGGTCTGACACAACTTTTGAGATGACTTAAGTTAATATTTAGCTCAACATCATGTTTCATGGAATTACTGTAGCCAGAAATCGTGCCGTCGACAAAGTAAAGGCTTACGTCGACACTTGAAGTTTTTGATAAAACGTCGTATTACATTCCAATAGTGATTGAAAATTTTGTGGTTTGTTTCTTTAAAAGCTTTCGAAAAATTTAATTTGTAATTAAAATATTGACATTATTTCATATGTTATAAAAGTGATTAATTATTATTGATGCGTCAAATGAAACAAATAATTCCAAAATGAGTGATCAACCAATATTCGATTATAGACTACGCGAAAATGGAAGATCGCCATCTGCAGAGCTTTCCGATGATAAACAGCTATAACAAACAAATTTTTTACCATATTTTCAAAATATGGTAAAAAATAATTTGAACAAAATATTTGCGTACAAAGTGCACGTCCAACAAAACTTTTGAATTTCATAATAGCTATAAGAGGAAACTTTCTAATCTCATCACTTTCTATCACCTTGCTCATCCAAAGCCGTCTGCAGATTCTGACTTTCCATGGTCGACTACTTTGTATGGAATAAATTTCATGTCCAAGTTCTATTAAAAATTTTGTTGATACCGCTTAACCTTTAGTCTCCGTTATGAACTTTCGTAAAATGTTATATTGCTAAATAATGAGGAAAACTCTTCCCGAAATATCTCGATTCAAAAATTGTTACATAGAAGCCAATCATACAAGGTATGGAGAGTCTCACTCTACAGTCGGTTTCGACGGACGAGCAAGTTATTGTTTTGTCTGTCTTGTAGGAATAATTCTCGCTCATGTTCAACTGCGTGCTCGTTTTGTACAGGTTTGTTCGCAAGAGACAACGCTGTACGGCACAACGAGAAAACATACTTTAGTTGCAATGGAATAAATCCTCGAGACACTACTGTGTTTTATTTTTTTTATACATGGCTCGCAGTACAAGTCAGTTTATCAGCAGTGTTTTCTCAAACCGTCCTATTTCATGTGGGAGTAGGTATCGGAGCTTCATAACATAGACTTAACACTAACCGAGAGTCTAGTTCTAGTCTATCAAAAGCTTTTTAGTACAGTCAGTCTATGGACTCGATCTTTGAAGTTCAGTCCACTTTGAACGAGACTATTTCTTAAGTCCTCGAGGAACTTCAACGGATATATCAGTAGTGTATTAGTGAGTAAGTTGGAGAGTAAGCTTGACATTCGTTAATTGATTTAAGTTTTCTTCCCTGATCATCTTAGTGAACATGTTTTGATCCATATTTGTATCAATCTTTTCAAAATAAAGCGTTTAAACTTGTTATGTAGCCTATATACATTGTGCTGAACTTAATCTGATCCTTATAGGAAATAAAAAAACGGATTAGAATACGTAATTAAATACCGAAGACCTTTTTTCATTGTAGAACGTATGAGAGATGAAGCAATGTGTCTATGTTTATTTTTATTCAGTCAACGATCTTTAAATCTTAAATACGATATAATTTTTTAAACGTGTTGTACTGTAAAGCAAGAGTCTTTAAATTTCAATAAAATTAGCTGCAGATGCATTAGGGTAGGGTTAGTTAGAAAAAAGCCAGGATTAGATCCGTAGCCACGGAATAAGACAACTGATAAGATCCATAGTTCATCGTGTAGGGCAAAGTAGAGTCCAAAATAAACTATCGATTTTGGAAAAATTATCCTTTGGAAAATTTATAGCGAGGATCAGACTTCATAATCAGTTAATCCGATCCTACATGTAAATGGTACGACCGATTTCGTTTGTGATATAGAGGCAGCGCATGAATGGAGTAAGACCAGTCCATGCGCAGTAGAGGTCTGCGGGACAGTTCCAGTCCCGGTCCCGCGGGACTTTTTACGGGACCGGGACCTAGAGGTCTGCGGGATTGTTCCGGTCTTGCGGGATTGTCTCGGTCTTGCGAGATTGTCTCGGTCTTGCGGGATTGTCTCGGTCTTGCGGGATTGTCTCGGTCTTGCGGGATTGTCTCGGTCTTGCGGGATTGTCCCGGTCTTGCGGGA